GTAGACTATATTTTAGTATTCTCATCTAATTTTATAAAAAAAAATTATTGTATTTACATGTTGTTGGACAAGTAAATGATTCACATGTCTCCCATAACGAAAAGAATCAAATCATAATTATAATGCAAGCTAGATTTTGAGATAAGATTGCTCATCTTTCTGCAATCAAATTTATAATTTTACCCTCATCAAACTTTGAATTTGGTCAAATTATCATCGTCCTCCTCCAAAATGAGGAAATTAGGTCTTCAAGTGCATACTATTTTTAATCCTTAACAGTTTTGGTCATTTGCAAATTCATCCTTTGGCTTTAAAATTGAGTAATTATGTCCTTCCTATCAATTAATTTTGTTAATTAGCTCCAACAAAAAACAAGTTAGATTCACTAAACGTAGCGACCAACATCATGATTCATAAACTGCACAAGAAGATAAACAAAATCAAAAAAGTTTCACCCAGGAAGAAATGAAAAAAAAAAAGGTCTAACTCTATCATCCAAGAACTAGCTAAGTCAGTGTCTGGTGTCAAGGAAATCTTGCAGAAAAGTGCTTTTGATGAGAATCACTAGGAACAAACACAGGGAGTTGGCCTCCCCTCTGCATTCTACCCTGTAAGCCAGCTGCAGCCAAACTGTTATTCCGTGTTCCTCGGTGGAGTTGCTCATTCACAAGAGGACCACCAAAGAATATTGACTGACCGGTATAGAGAAGCTCCGTTCCAGGAACCTGAGAAGAACTAGAACTCCTGGATGAAGATGACACAAAACGTCCAGCTTCTGGATCCCAAAATACTGAAGTTTTCGAGCTTTCTGGGGCATCTGTGTTTCTTCTCAAGGGATATGCTGCAGCATTCTCATGGACTGCATTCTCATTTGTTTCACTTTGCTTAGTTGACAAAGGAGACTGATTGATTGAAGTTTGGTATATGGGGTTGAAATGTTCTGTATTTGATATTTGCTGCACTGCTGAAGAGGGAACACTGGGATTCTGAGGGCTACTAAGGTCACTAACACTGTGAACACATGATTCTGTGTCATCTCTGCTCACACGGCTTGGAGGGTACGTACTCTTGGAAGGAGACAACCTTGCCATCCCTGACCTAGCATTTCTGCTGCGAAAACCTTGATCAGTACTTATCGGACTGCTTCTTCCACTCACATTACTGCTAGACAAATGATCACTGCTATATGGATGGTGTAGAGAGCTAATTGGACGAAGAACTGATGAAGATGCTCTAGCTTTTGCAGCTGCCTTAACTGCTTCATTAGAATCCAATTTGGCAAGTTTCCATGCACTAATTTTGACGGGGCGCTGAGGTAATTTTTTTCCCTTTTCTCCAGGCTGTACTGCATCTGGATCCACTGTGGATGGCAGTCGTCCTGGCTCCAAATGTGGGATAATTTCATCCTGTTTGAAAGAGCAAGATTTAAGAAAAAGAATCATTACAGAGAAGAAGACCAACATACTCTTAGTTTGACAACAGAAAAGATTGTGGTACCGGGTGATCCATGAAGATTCTTGGTGGCGTACACCATGCCCCTTTATATTGCAAGCCCATTCCAAGAGAGCTTCTCCCACTTATGGCAGTCACAGCGGAGCTGGTTGGTGAAGAAGGCAAACTTCGATGGTCTCCTCCATCTACAGACTGTCCTGGTGGTTCACTTTGTGCTCTCATTGCAACAACATACTCATATGTTGTTATACCCTGCAGTTAGAAAAAATTGTTAATGTTTTTGAATATTAAGATGGGTTCAAAGAGAGAGTGAGAGACTTATAAGAAACACACCTTCCGAATCAGAATTATATGGAAAAAGAACAGCTCACCCAAAGGCAAAGTTGCCACAAGAGAAACAACAGTGCATAATGCCTGTAATCATTGTCCTGTACAAGTTAGTTGTATAACCAGGGAAACAAAGATTCTAATATTCAGAGGGGAAAATATAATCTTACTGAACCACAAAGAATTTGGAAAAATACATATAATGAAATAAAATTCTTAAGCCAGATGCCAGGCTTACTACATAAAGCTTTGAAGCAGTTGGTTAATAATACCAGAAAAACATTTGAGGATTGCAAATTGTCTCTTTACGGCTTTACTCTTTTTCTTTCTAAAAAATAAAAATCCAGCATGGCAGTGTTTCCAAATTAATTTCTATTAAGGTCTTCTGAAGTATCAAGAAAGAGTTCCAGTTCAACTTAATTTTGGCAGGCCAATAGCTGACACCAATGGTTGGTGGTAGTCTCTACTAGTCACATCCAGGCATCATGACTGCATTGGTATTTAATGGTCTATACTGTTATATCTACGTTACGCACATGAAATGTCAGTTTTGCATATAGCATAACATATTCGCTTAATTTCTCTTCTCCATTGAAGGAAGTTATCTGAGCATCTGACACCAAAACAATTACATTAAAGTCATAGGTGCAAAACATACCACCACAGTAGCAAAAGGAGCACGAGAGAATCCAACTCCAAGTTTCTCAGTTATTTCATGTTCTGTACCCTTTCTGTCAACAAAGCACCGAACAAGGACAGCAACACCAACCCCAAATTCAACAATAAGCTGACACCCAAAAGCAAGGTCTAAGTCATATGGAAATGCAATAATTTAGTTCTGACTGCAGACCAGCAACTGAACCAATGACAGACAGAAAGCATTAACAAGAAAGATCATTATTAGAAGTTGAGAACCTACCCAAAGAAGGCTTGCTGCCATAAGGCACACAAAAGTGACATAATTTTTTCTCCCCACACAATTATTCAACCACTGCATCAAACAAAAAGGCAGAAATTTTTGTAATGCACAATATAATAGTAATTAAGGGAACAAGTGGCAAGAGAGCTTCAAAAGATTCCAAAATGAATGGCAGACCAACAGCATAGAGCAGAAGCCAGAAGCATCAAATTTTCATTAGGTCTAAATAAAATACAAAATTAGACCCAATCACTCAGCTGGAAAGTGTCAGTATGAACAATTGAAACTCACCCGACAATGATGATCAAATCCATCAACACACTTGTCACAACTTCTGCAATGCTTGCTGAATTTACGCACCTGCAAAGGGCAGGGATGGGACCCAGATTAAAAATGAGCACCATGTGATGAGAAGCAAATAGACCTTTTGGATATTGCTATTAAAGAACAGAAAGTTCTGTCAGATTTTAAGATTATTATTGTCCACTAGCCATACATGCCTGGTTACATCCCAATTGTAAGGTGAAGGTCTAAGATTCTAAGCAGCATATGTTTCAAGTTGCTAACATTTGAGCCAGGTAATATTGGAGCTCCCTAAGTTTTCTGCTCCTAATCTTCATATAGTATTTATTCACTTAGCTCACCATTTCATGTCTTTTGGACAGGTGAGAGAAAGAAAGAAGCAAGATGGGCCATGCATGACTATTTTTCCACTAAAAAGACTTACCTCAGCATTGCATAACGTGCAGAATAGAGCATCTTCCTCTCCAGATTGTTGCTGTAGAAGGTCTTCATCTTTGCGACAATCCTCTTTTACGAAACAACAACAAAAGAGACCTCCAAGCTTCCCACACAAACTTGAACCATGCCTATCATATTTTCCCCCATACTTCATCTCTACCTTGCTAGGCTCTTCAATAGAAAATGTATTTGCTGGTTAAAACACCATATGGTAAATTGAGAAGAAACATATAGAAAAAGGCACATCATTAACTCATATTGCTCTTCATCAGTTTATTCAAGTGGTCAAATGCCAAAGAAGCTGGACATGGGAAGAGAACTCCCAGATTTAACACACCTTAGCCAAGTTGGAAACCACCATCATTCATTTCTCTTACAACATTTTAGGATCACTAATCAAATTTTTTTATTAGGCAGATAGAAGTTTGGTAAGGTCATACTAATTGTCAGCCAACAAGCCTTCAGAATCCATAATCAGTTAACCTTAACAAGCAAATAGCAATAATCTAAGGATCTAAGATGACTATAGTGCAATTAAAAAACTCACCAGGAAGATCCACATTAGTCTGTGATCTATAAGATGATAACTTGTCTACTTCCAGCAGAATTCCCGGATCAGCTGGATCAATTGCTGTGCATCGAGCATAAAGAATGAAAACAGAGAGTGCCTGAAATAAGAAATGGAACATGAAGATGATAAGTAAGAAACTGATTAAATAGATTCTAGACATTACTGAAGAGTAAAGTTGTGAAAACTTGACATGTGGGTCAAAACACAAGACAAGCATCCAACCTAGGACCAATTGACAATAAGCCACATATTCCTTTGTTATTTCATAGAAAGAAAAGGAAAAACATTATTGTGCTTACCAAGACAGAGTATACACCAATAGCCACATATTCATATATATCCTTTCCAAGAAAGGGGGCAAAAAAGGCATAATATGCAACAGATAGCAGGAAGAAAACTGTTATGGCCACAACCTGTATGTCACAAAAATGATGATTATTAATATCCAATGCAGAAACCAGAAAATTATCCCAGAGTTCTGAGTTTAAAATTAGGAATCATAATCATTCTTCGCAGATCAACATGCAGGTCAAAACAGCTTTTGAGTAGGGCAGGCAGGCTTCTCTTTGGCCATATCAACATCTTAATAGCAAAGAAAATGAATATTATAGCCTTGTCCACTTGGATTTAAGATCTTTATCTAGGAAGACCGTACACATTACAGTTTAAACTCAATTACCATACAAATTTTTCTCTCAATCAAATGAAACTATCATTTTCCAATAAGCCAAAAAAACATATATCACGTAAAAATGC